TGATGGAACTAAACAAAAAAAGGGGATACAGATGAATGTCCATTTTGTATCTGTGTATTCAAAATGGTTAGGATGGATATATAGTTACATTCTCTTAATGAATAGAGGGATTTGTTCTAATAGTTTTTCTAAATAGGATATCATGCCTGCATCTTGTACAGCAAATAACCTCTAAGAAGAATGTATGCAATGTGTTAATTATTGAAAGTATCCTACCAATTTGGTTTGAAAAAATAAAAATAAAAAAAAGCTCAGCCCTTGCATAGTAGGAGTTTTCTAAGCTGTTCCATTTATTAAAACCTTTTTTATTTTTGGTGCCAGGAATCAGACTCATGACCTTGTGGTTATCAGATGGGCACTGTGCCACTGAGCTATAACCCTGGCCCTCCTTCATTGTTTTTGAGTAACTATTATTTTTTAAACCACTTGCTTTCAATGAACATGTGTTTATATCTTATAGAAGTGAAGTATTGTTGGTTTTGCTGAACTCATCACTGTTTTTATCTTCTTACAGCACCAGGGATTGAACCTAAGGCCTCAGGCTTGCTAAGCAAGTATTAATCCAATGTGTTCTACTCTCAGCCCTGCTCAACAGTCTCTTAAGCAAAGGATCACCAGCTTGGAAATGATTCCTTCATTCCCAAGTTCTTTGTCTTTAATTTTGGAAATCTGCAAAATCAGTCTTTTACTGTCCATCAAGACTTGAACACCAGAACTTTACTTTTTCAAGCATGGAATGAAGCATGTGTATTTGAGGGACAGGGCCCAGATTTGTGTCCAGTGTGAGGAGTTATGTATACCCTTGGCGGAGCCAGTGGGCCTACAGAAAGAGGATGCTTGAGGTTAGTTCAACTCGGAGTCTATGTGCAAGTTCAGGCAACTCATCTGGGTCCTTGAAGGCAACATAGCCCTGGCAAGTGACTGAATACTCACTCACTATTTTTCTACAAGCTCAGGTAGCTTAAACTTAGGTTTTCTGATAGCTGCCATTTTTGAAGTTGGAAGTGAAAGCTGAGTTTTAAATACAGAGGAAAAAATCACTCTATGCTGCGAGAGAAACTTGACACAAGAATTCCTCTGAAAGCACTATGTGAATTTTCTTAAATTCTTTGAAGTTAGTCATGAATGACTGACTTCATTGTCCAAGGACACCAAGGAAGGAGTTGGAATTTCTTTCTCTTTGCCACACTACAGGATCACAAGCAGAATTTTCAAAGTAGTTGGTTTATTACCAATCACAGTGCCACAAGGCAGAGATTTTATATGGTTTCTCCTTTTTTCCCCTAAAGTTTTAGGCATTATTGTTTTGTTTGAAATTCTCCTGGTTAGTGATGTTGGTTAAGGCTGGCGCTGGCCAACCTGAGGGGCCATGTGTCTGGACAGAGATAAGCTTAACCTGTAGTTGGGACACTTTCTGATTGTCATGCTCCCTTCTCATGGAGCCTTTCCCCCTCTTCGCTCTGCATTCAGGATTTAAAATGATCCATCCATTCAAGGCAGATGGGGCAGATGCATGGAAAATGGCCACCCATCTGTAGGAGCCAGTCATGAGAATTCACCTCCCTTGTCCCTAATAGGTTTGTAGGAAAGTTCTCTAAAGGGACAGCTGGCCTTTGGGGTGGAGAGCTGATCCTGTAGCCTTGAACTTCTTTTAATTATAACAAGAGTCTTAAGAACAATATCTGCCACCCTGTTTTACACAATTCTTTCCTACATCTTTCTTGTTCACTCTTCAAGGCCTGACCTGTCAAGATGAGGCACAGGCCTGGAACACCTTGGGAAAATCCCTACTCCCAGAAAACCCCAACAGGAGGGAAAGGAGACAGTCATGTGCATGAGTCAGAAGGCGCAGGTAATTCTAGAATCCTCCACAAAATTCTTTCTACCCACAGTGTTCCAAGGAAATTGATTTGGTTGTCTATTTTAGTTGTAAGGAATTTCTTTGCTAAATGCAAGAAACTTTTAGCATCCCTTTTTAACACTCATAAACTACTCGTTTCCAAACATCTTTGTGGTTTCTTTCAGTTGCAAGAACAGAAATGTATTGTTACGTACAACAGAAATATGTTGTTGTCTCCTTGTAATTTTACACACATACACATGCAGTTTTCTGTTTATAACTTCCTTGCCCACCCACCTCTTTGCCCTAAACGTTACAATGAGCCCATTCATTCGTAATTCCACTTAGTTGCATGATGGTTTTCAAGGGACATTGTTAATGCAGTTGGCTTCCCAGGTAAAAAGAGGGCGAGAGCTTGGTGGGAAGGGAGCATAAGACTATATTTTTAAGCCCAGCAAACCCTCTCTTTTACAGAAATGTTTAGGGTTAGGAAGTCCCTATTCCCTCAGCTCTGGAGCTGACCAGGCCTGCTGCCTATTTAGGTATAAAGACATCTCAGTGATCAGACAGATGCGAGGAGAAGAAAGAAAAAGTGGTGAGGAAGTACTTATGAGGTGTGGTGACTGCCGGATTGCACAAACTTAATTTTTATCACAATCCCTGAGTGAGGAAGTGGCATCTATCACGACAAGAATAAGAATGTGCCTTGGGAGCCTCCGTGGGGTGGGACGGGAGGGAGGAGTCCCCCACCCCCTGTGCTGTCCTAGGAGTGAGGAAAGCCTCTGCCGAGCCCAATGTCCCTTCCCACGTCCCTTTCCTGAGGTCACCTGTCTGGGGCGAGGGTGAAGCGGCCGCTACCGGCAGCGGGCTCCGCGCACTACCAGACTGCTGGAGCAGCGCGCTTTAGCATCTGCAAGACCAGAGACTGAGCCCACGCGCAGGGGACCGTAGCCCGGCACCGGGACTCGCGTCAATCCCTCCCACTGGCTAAGCAGCCGGCCGCGACTGTCCACGCTTCTGAATTCCCCGCCTCCGTGGACGACTCCCATGCCCGGGGCTCCCTCCCCCGAGGTGCCAGATCCCGCCTCCCGCCTCCCACCGACCGATGCTAGGCGGCTGCTTCTTTAAGGCCGCGGTCCCCGCCCTCGGAGCGTCCCTCCCCCGCCCTCTCCCGGAGCTGGAGCCAGGCAAGCGCTGAGCTGAGCAGGTGTCCGCGCCCCTCGCATGCGGCGGCCGCGCGGGCGCTGGTAGCGGCCGGGCCGCGCTGGGCTCCGGCGCGCAGGGCCATGTCGGTGGTGACTGGCGGCAACGAGGCGGCCGGCGGGCCCGGCGGGGGCAACGGAGCGCGTGTTTTCTTCCAGAACCCCCGGGGCGGCGCGAGCGGTAGCCCGGGCTCTTCTCGGGAGGATTCGGCGCCGGTGGCCACGGCGCCCGCGGCCGGGCAGGTTCAGCAGCAACAGCGTCGCCACCAGCAAGGGAAAGTGACAGTGAAATACGACCGCAAGGAGCTTCGCAAGCGGCTGGTGCTGGAGGAGTGGATCGTGGAGCAGCTGGGGCAGCTGTACGGCTGCGAGGTACCTGGGCGCAGGGCCGGAAGGGTCGGGACGCCTCTGCGCTTCACGCCCGCGCCGCAGTCCTGGGGCGCAGCTCCCCGGGCGAACCGGGCGAACCGGCAGCTCTCAGGGACCGCGCTCTCACCGGGTGCCTTCAGGTGCCGGGCGCCGCCAGCGGTTGGGGCGCTGCCTCCTGGGATCCGCTCCCGGGCTCTGGAGAGCTATGGTCTCTGTGTCGGAGGTGGGGGTGTTGGGTCCTGCAAAGCTCCTAGCTTGCCGCCGAACTCCGGGCATTTCTGGACTCCCGCTGTAGCTGCCCCAAGGAAGCAGGTCCTGAGGATCTCACTCTAGCGGCGCCGGAGCAGCCTCGGTTTCCGTGGAGAGGGACTGGGTACCTCAAGCTGCTTTCACGAGGAGAGGTTCCGGGGGCCTCGCAGCCCCGTGCCCCCTTGGGTCCTGAAATTCGACGTTAGTCTCCTGACACAAACGCCTTTCCTGTTCTAGGCAGCCCCCCTTGCAGGTCCGCGCTCGCGTTCCTAAAGCCACACGCAACGAGCTTTGTTGAAGCAGCTTTATTATTATTTTTTTTTCTTTTTTGGTTCCCCAAGCTCAATTACACCCATCCATGGGCGCAGGACGAGACCCTCGGACCACCTGAGGGTGCTTAGGCAGGTAGTTTTCAGGGTGCCTGAGACCTCCAGCTCATGGGGCCCATTTTCCCTGTACAGGGCATTGTGGCTTCCCACAGTTCAGGGATTAAGATGATGTAAAAATCTGACCTGAAGCAGGTCTATACTACACTTGATAGGATAAATATTTAAATGAAGCTCTTAAAGACATACCCTAAAAAAATTATCTAAGCCATATGATCTCCCCTGAGTCTTTAACAACAGCAATTGTGCTTCTCTTAGGAGATTGGCGTTTGGAAAAGAGTGGAAGCATGAAGATTAATAATTAAGTATAGGGCTTCTAAATTAAAGCTGGGTTTGTGTCCATCCTACTGTTAATGTTTTTCCAAGACAGTGTAACCCAGATGAACTCAATTGCCTGACCACTGATTTGGGGCATTCTGCGCGTCCCACATTGTACGGCCTGTTGTGAGGACATCTTTTCTTTACAGTCTCATTGCAGAAGGAAACAGCTTTCCCTCTGCTGACTCCTGATGAATAATTATGATATAATGGAGCTTGACTGTAAACTAATGAGCTTGTGAAAGATACGGTTCTCTAGCCCAGCTTTTTCAGAGAGCCATTTTAACTGCATGAATAAAAGCTGGCAAAAGTAGGAAGCTCTTTGCGGGAAGTTGGCAAAACTCTTTACAGAAACAATGTATCTAATTTAGATGGAATTCTGGTGAGGTGAATGGATGTGCTCAATCCTATTTCCATAGCATCTAGTTAATTTTAATTTATTTCTTCCTGTGGGCCAGTAAGCAGCCAAATAAGTTGTTCATAGCAAACAACTAGGTGTTTGTGGTGAAATGATGCATATGCTCTATATGTGTTTAGAGGTGGCTAGCATTTCTCTTCAAGATGCTTTTTCAGTTATTGAAGAGCAAAGGGAGAAAAATCATTGAGATTTGTGGCAGTGTGCAGCGTCTAGTTCTTGGTACTCCTCAATAACAATGAACAAACCTGTGGGCCAGTAAGCAGCCAAATAAAGATTCTCTTTCCCAACTATTTCTCCACCCATAGGGCAGTAGTTTGGCTTTGGGTTCTCTCTTTTGGCTGCTTTTCTTTGCTCAGGGTCCTGAGTATTTCAGCCTGTGGTTTGTGAATTGAGAGGGCTCTACCCTGGTTAACAGCTTAGAGTCACAGGAACATGAAGATTAAGAGATATCCTTTGATATGCTAAACTGATAGTATTTTCAAATGCCTATTGAATGAAGTTGACACAGAAGGCCAACTTGGGGACTTTAGACTTCACATTCACCAAAGGTGAAGACATAGTTAAGTGTCACAAAAAGTTGTACCAGACGGATCAGCAGTTGGATGACTTGGCCTTTCAGAATAGAACACAACATTTTAAGGAGTCTGGGAAAGGAAGATATTTAAACTTAGAAAGGAATGAAAATGAAGAAATATACAGACCTGGCTGTGATTTCATCTAGAAGTTTAGATTGCCAATCAGTTTTCTCTGGAGAAAAATTCAATAGATTCCATTCAGGGAGAACTATAGGTCAGGTACTGTTCCTGGCACTTCGATGTACAGTTCATTTCCTGTCCACAAGAGGTCAGTTAATTAATTAATTTTTGTTTCATAAAAGAGTAGATTGAGATTTAGAGAGATATGGGAGACTTTTCCAAGCTTACACAGCTGAGGCATGAGTCATAGTGCAATGTGACTCTGAGACCACCATGTAACTACCAGGCCGGGCTGTAATTTTGCAGGTTCCCATGTAAGACAACAAAGGAAACCAATATTTCACATGTCTCAACTCTTCAAGCTTAGTGAAATGACTCACTAGCATTGTATCATTTTGTTCCATTCACTTATCTTGGTAACTGTGTCTTCTGGTGACCTTGAAGGGCTGTGTGGAGGCTTGAGTTCTCCACATTCTCAGAGTTCTGAGCTGGCAGGCAACTGGAAGAATCTGCCCCTGGAACAAGTGTTTTCCTTCTGGTTTCCACCCTGGTACATTCCCACCTGTTGGAGGCTATTGTGTCCACTTGGCATGGCCAATCTTTGTACATATTTTCTGAGCTCTTTTACCATACCCCTCTGGCTCCCACGGATCTGGGAGGATAGTGTTCCTGTCTTAGAAGCTGCTTGGTATCTGATGAGAGAATTCTGGGGATACAGAGTATGCTTATAACTAGGTGGGAGGACAATGCTTCCATGTCAGTAGGTTCCAGGTCTACTTGGTCCCAGAAAATCTTCTGGAAGACAAGATGTGGAAGGAGTGGAGCTCAAGGCGGTGGCCCCTCTTATCTATTCTAAGGGTGATGCTGTTGAATATCACTTACTTAGCCTTTTGGACACATGGATAAATATTTTTTATTAAATTCTAAAATATATGTTCATAGTCCTTCTTCACTGCGTAGTCTCATGGGAAAGCTTGTACAGATAGTTTTTTTAGACAAGAGTGGTTGTAAAGGAATCATAAGGTTAAATCTGTGTCCATATATGAAGATTTCTGTTTTAAGACATTTTTCATATCTCTTCTAAACTCTTACAGCTTCTTAAGAACAATCTGGAATAATATCTACTCTGACAAGTATTGTAAGATAATTTATTAGATAAGTCATATCAATTGTTTTCAATCTTGCCCAGCATCAAGATGATATCTGTACTCTCAGTTTTGCAATTTGCTTTGCTTTGCTTTGCTTTGCTTTGTTTTCCTAAGTTCTGATTATTGAAATCCTGGCATTGGCCTAACTGTATATAGTTTCAGGTATTCAGGGCAATTGCTGTATTACCCTGACTGACCATTTGGGAGGTCTATGTTTTGCTTCATATGTCAGCTTTAAAAACAAACAGACAAACAAACAAACAGTTTACTATATTTCTCTTTCTTCCCCAACTTCACACTATTTCCATCTTATAAACCAATGGTTGTTGAGCTTTTGATGGCAACACAGAAAGAAATATCCTTTTCATTGCTGCCTGATACTTTCAGAGATGTGTGCATGTATAGGAAAAATTCACTTCATGTTACCACTTATGCCAAAGATAAAAATATGAGCCATCTAAAATATGACTTCATTAATGTTTATATGTAACATTCTATTCTGTTTCATTTTCTGAAAGTGTTGGTTGTGACCCTCTTAAGTCGATTTCACGACATTTTTGGACACATTTCTGAATTGTGACATGCAATTTAGAAAATACTTCTTCAGAAAAGGAAGAAACTAAACCCAAGTACTAGAATTGGTGAACACCAATTGACACTTTCTGTTGCTTAGACAGAATTCATGCAACACTAGTAGCAACCTCTGATACCACCACTTCATGGATAAGGAAACTAAAGCTTAGACTGCTCAAGAAATTGCTCCTGAGCCTGCAGGGAGGATGTGGCAGAGAGGGGTGGGGGCCAGAAGTCAGGTGTGTGGACAAGGCTAGAATCCCCTTTTGTGGTAAAGACTGAATGTAAAACACCATTCATACCGTAGTAGCTGGAATCCAGGTGTGTGGACAGTGTTACCAGGGTCATGCCTAACATTACCTGTTGGTTATTCTGTATTATGTTGAGAAGGTGCAGTAGGGTAGAAAAGAAAATAGTCACACTTATTAGGTGCCTGGCTTTGTAGCGAGAGGTGTTACTGTGTGTTTCAACTTGAACTGGCTTAATGTGGCTAAATTGCTTCCTCTTTTCTTACAGCCTGCCTCACCTTAAATGTTTCATTGTATTTGACACTGTGAAGGCAGGAAATCTTTTAATTATTACTGCATGTGCTCTAATAAAGCACAATTCTTCAACCTTTAGGGACTTATCTAGATGAAGGCAAAGGATTAATCTTCAGAAAATGTTTTCAAAGTTATTGATGTTTTCTTGTCCAAATTAGTTGGTCTTTACCACAGATGTGGTCAGAGAAAAATCAATCTGTTGTTTTGTTCTTATAAACCGTATCCTACTTTTGCATCATTAATGTTCCATTTCAGCAGTGTTGAAATATACTTATACTGCTCCAAATAGGAGTTTAAAAATGGGAGTGGAGGGCCAGAGAGATGACTCAGTGGAATAAGCGCTTCCCTGGCAAGTACAAGGGCCTGAGTTCAATCCCCAGTTCCGCAAAGATAAATAAATAAATAAATAAATAAATAAATAAATAAATAAATAAATAAAATAAGAAATAAATAAAAATGGGAGTGGTAGATAACTGGTTTTTCAGTTTAGTTTGAGAGAATGCTTTTGGAGATCGAATCCCCAACAACCCCCCCACCCCACCGCTCCCTTTCCCTCTGCCCTAAGGTGCTTCTGCCACGCACCAGTTCTGCCTGCCATGCTCAGCTCTGATGCCTGTTGCTTCTGGTGTCTTCTGTCTTCCTGCCAGGTTGGTGACCCAACCTTCTTAACCCAA